GGAAGAGAAAGCTCTTGGGCAAATTCAGGTGCAGCCAGCTGGGAGTCAGACCGGTGCGCAGTGATGCCAACAGCAAGGGCAGCAGGCCTCAAACCTAAGTGTGCATCAGAATCACCCAGAGGGCCTACTAAAACACAGATCACAGAAGCTTACTCCCAGAGCTCAGAAGGTCTGGGGAGAGGCCCAAGAATTTGCATCTCTACAAGTTCCCAGGTGAGGCTGCTGCTGCTGCTCTAGACGCACACCTTGGGATGTGGGCAGGGCACCAATACAGTTGGTACAGGCTGGATACTTGGGGGAAATGTAAAACCTAGGGTAGCGCAGAGCTTAAAGCTGAAGGAAACCAGAATGTCACCCCAAAATATGTCCCTCCGACATAAAAATTATTTTGAGCTGGGGACAACTGAGAAGCAGCAGATGCAAGAAAGCTCCCTGCCTTCCTCCAACATGCCTTGTCCCTCCTCCCCTCTCTATTAGAAGGGACAAAAGTGAATCACTGGAGACCACTTTAGACCCTAATAGCCAAGAGATAGCAACAGAGGAATCTGTATAACAAATTTAACTAACTAGCCTGTACCTACCATTAGTTTCCAGTATATTTACCTTCCCACAACTGCCACACTTGGAAGCCTAAAACCATTTTCCTTTGTCTTGTCATTTCTCTCCAAATACATTGTTTGTGGAAGATACCATATAAGCCCGAGTTCTAAGCCACCTCTTTGAGTTACTCATTTCTATGAGTTTCTCTCATGTATGTATGAGATATACATGTTAATAAACTTGTTTTTCTCGTTAACCTATCTTTTCTTACACGGGCCCCAGTCAGAAGCTTAGAAGGGTATTAGGAAAGATCATTTTTCCTCTCGGACAGAAACATCAAGCCAAAGAGGTGAGACATACTTTTGTTTGGACCCTGTATAGGAAAATTCTTCCCACCTCACCCAAATCCTGTGCTCAGAGGTCACATGCCTGTGGAGAGCAGACCATGCAGAAGGAACCCTCATACCTGCTGTGGCCAAGGTTAAGGCCTCTCACAGCATCCTGAGGGTACAGCCACCCTAGGAGTTCCACCAGGGTCTTTTTGTCTGGGGGTGGCCTGGTAAGCATAGGTCCCAGTGGCAAAGAGTACAAACAAACAATTTTTCCAAAGGATCCAGCTTTTGGCTTCAGAATCAAATCCAGCTGGTGACCAACTGAGTTCAAGAAGTTGTTCCTCTTGATCAGACACAGAGCGTGCCAGCAGAAGCCCTGGTCCCACTGCCAGGACAGTGGAAGGCAGTGCTGTGTCCCTTCCTGTCAGGTCTCAGAATCACTATGTAGTGACCTTGACCTCCTGCTTTGTTCTGGAAAAGGCAAATCCTTCAGAGGACACCCCCAAAATAATGTGTCACCTTACACTCATTCAACATCTATACGATAGCCAGAAAAATAACAGGCCTCCTATCCTTTAGCGCTTGTTTACAACAGGAGCACATACTGGCTGGGAATCCTAAGTAAATACTGATGCTTTTTTCACCATACTAAATTTCCAGTTGAAACCTACACTGTTGGTTTCACAACACAAAACCAATCGTGACCTCTTAAGAGATGAGGGCAAAAGGCAGGGAGGCAGAGATAACAAATTTATCCTTCACAGGAACAGAGGCATCCTCATTTATCTTTTACAGTGATCACCCCTAGCAAAAGAGCACAACAAAGCTACATCCCCACGCTTCCATTTTGAGACCTGGGTCACTGCCACAAAAGCCAGGGTGTTAGGCCTCAGCCCACCGCAGATATCTGGACGCTTCCAGTTCAGGCCAGTCACTACAGAAATGCTGAGGTCAACACTCCTTAGGAGGCGGCACTGTAATTAGCTGCAGTCCAGAGCTGAACAGTAAGGGAAAGGAAAGCTTCTCCCCCTTGCAAATCAGAACATTTTTTCTAGCTTTCCCAATGGGTTGCCAAGTGACTCAGCATTGGCCTGTGTGGGCACTATTATTGATGAGAAATCTTCTGCCTGGGTGATATACTGCATATAACACATGCCCAAAGAACGGTGCCAAGTCATACCAGGAAGAGCAGGCGAATTATTCACCTCCACTTCGAATGTGGGCAAATCCTGTCTTAATGCAGGGGCTACTCAGCATCAGAAAGACAAAGCCCTAAGATCATCAGAGATTTCCTTCTAAGATTCAAGGAATTATTAGGCAGAGTCTCTCCTTTCTTGTTGACTATTAAAAGGCAATCAAATCGAGGACAGCAGAGAAAAAAGGGCAAGAAAAAAATAATTTTTCAAAAACAATCCCAGAGCAGAAAACTGCATAAAAGCCTTCAGATCTCTAAGTGTGGTCTTTGTGAGTACTACGAGCTCCACCCAGAGGTCATTTCTAGAACTGCATGTTCGTTTAATTTGGATAAAGAAAATCTCCAGGGCCTGACTTGCCTTACAGAACTGCTGGGAATTCTTGGACAACATTCCCTCTTTCTTGCCTTTCATTAAAGGAACTGCCCTGAACTGTGAAATACAGGATATACTCAGGGACAGGATAAGATCCAGCAGGACAATAGCTTTGATATCTGCACTCCTGGCAGGTTGAACCCAGCTAAAAGACAGCCCAAACTGTTCAAAGAATACAGCAGGTCCTCAAATAACATTAATTAATTCAACATCGTTTTGTTACAAAGTTGATGAGTTAAGTTACCATAGTTACTTAACTCTCGTTTATATCAATTAGCCTATGGTAAAACTGGTCTCATTATACATCGTTTCACTCAAAGTTGTAGAACCTATTGCTGATGTTAAGTGGGGACTTACTGTGCTTTTAGAAGAAAAACTGAGGGCTCTCATGGAAAGGAAATGTAAGAGTGGAGAGCAACTCAGGATGGGGGCAAACAGAAACATGTCTAATATTAAGACCGAGAACAATCCCCCTTCCAGCGAACCCATTGGTCACTTGCCTAGAAGGCCTAATTAGAAGGCCTCCGCTCCCTTATGCGACTCAGAGGATCTCCCCAAGACAATCGCCATCCATACTTCCCGAAGACCTGACTGCAGTCCCCTGATATCCCTCCATTCGTAACAGCCACACACCCCTCACCACTCCACCCCAATCCTCCACAATGGCAACCCTCGGTCTACGAGGGGTCAGGCTTACATCAAAAGCCCCCAATGCAGTGAGCTGTCAACTACCCAGTGGAAAACACATCCTGTTCCAGATATCACAAGCTAGCCCAACAAGAAATGAAGCCTTCAAAAAAACAAACAAAAAACAGTATGTTGGTGCTGAAAGTTTCATCTACCATCTGGAAAGCTTCTCATCACAGCCTGCATGTTCCTGCCTTCATCAGCTTGCACCTTACATGACTTAAGACAATTCTGACAGATTCTGAAGGTGGAAAAAATCAAACTTGCCCTTTGTCTTCCTCCAACACTCCCCAACCCCCGCTGTCTAATTCTTTCTTCACTGTAAATACTGAACAGCCTTTTCCTGTCTATTGACAAAAATATCTATGGCAATGTTTATCCATCTCAGGAGTATTAAAGCTCTTGAAAATATCCTTGCTAAACCCCTGCATGTTCTTATTTGAACAAGGCTAAGTATTCCCAGAATGTTGCCCTTTTTTAATGGACTTTACATTTTTAGAGCAGACTTAGGTTCACAGCAAAATTGAACACAAAGTTCAGAGATTTCCCATGTACCCTCTGCCCCCCACACCTGCATAGCCTCCCCCATTAACAACATCTGCCTGAGAGCAATACATTTCTTACAATCGATGAACCCGATGAACCTACTTTGACACATCATCATCACCCAAAGTCCATAGGTTACATTAGGATTCATAGGATATTGCACATTTTAGGGGTTTGGACACATGTTTAATGGCATGTATGCACCATTACAGTATCATACGGAGTAGTTTCGCCACCCTAGAAAGTTCTCCCCTTCTTTGTTTCTTGACCATAAAGCAAAAATATTCGTGCTCAGCATGACTCAATATGACTCTAAGCCGTATTCCCTGGGCCTGCCTTGTGATAATCATCGCCAGGGAGGCTGGTTATCACACATGCTTAGACTGCACCCTCAATTCACTACATCAGACCTGGCTGGGGAGGGGTCCAGAAAACTACAGTGCGTCCAGACACCCCAGGTGATTGCTATCATCAGGAAAGTTTCACAAACACATCTCTAAAGGAGAGATGCTCCTAATTTCAGAATCTCCCAGCTGCACAGAGCATGTGTTAGGAATGCAGCAGGTGTTCCCTACCCACTTGAGCTCCAGTTCCATCAGAATACCTAGGATTCAAGATGGGTCCCATTCTTCATTTTCAACAGCATGGCTGCTAATACTTTTCTCATTCATTCCCTTATCTTGTTGCACAGTACCAGAAAATTTTATAGGGTCTAGGAAGTGTCCACTTCTATTAGGAAATACTTCTCTATTCCTACACAATTGTCTACCACTGGTCTGCAGTTTACATGCATGCTAGTTGGATCACTTGTGCAAAGTGATGGGTTAGAAAGCAAATTTGCTAAGTTATAGGAAAGGATTTGCCTAAGGACATTTGTGCACATTATACACAGAACAGAAGGACACAAGGCCAATATGGGTTTGTCTCCTTTGTGCCTTGAGGGCTCTTCTGCCAGCTGCTCCCCGAGGCTCCCCACTGCTCTGCATTCTGCCACAGCCAATGATGGTTTATGGCAAAAATTCGCTGGGCAGCAGGCCATGTGTCTCTTACAGACGGCAATTAGGAGAGAAGGAAAGGCTGAATTACAAGGTGTTTGAAAATGCAGTTCAAAAAAAAAAAGTCATCGTATTTTCTCTTACCTGCTGGTGATGAAATCTATGTATTCATCCCAAAACAGACACCTAACTTTGGGGTCATTCAGAGTCAAGAGCTCAGTCAATAAAAAAAATCTACTACACAGTGTTGTGCATGAAAATCTATTAAACCACAAGTCAGGGTTTGGGTTTTGTTTCGTTTTGTTTTGTTTTTCATTAAAAAGAACCCTTACCTTTTCTTTGGCTTTCCTTTTGGTACCTGCATCCATCCACTCATTTTCTTTCTCCAGCATGTCAATAAAGGCCCAGCGAACACCCTCAATCAACTCCTCCATCTACAAAAACAAACAAAAAATACCCAAAGAGGCAGGTCAAAAACCAAGAAGCTTCAGACAAGGTTTTCTAGGCCAGGAGAAATAGTTCGATGCTAAACGTGATAGGAAAGAGGCTCCTTTCAACTTGACTCCATACTGTGGCAACATCACCCTTCCTAGGAAAAAGCTCCCCACCTACACCCGCCACCCCAAGAAGATAATTAACCATTTCTTTCCATCAGAGTAATCACTAGCCCGTCTTCACCAAGGTGCCACTAATTTCAATAGTTTAATAAGGGTCTGAGAGAGAGAGAAGCAAAGACATGTGCTGTGTATTTCAGACAGGTATGGCAGGATCACGTGAGTGACCCATTGAAAGAGATACTGGTAACAAAGAGACAGGAAAGGAGAACCAGCATCCCAAAATGCACACCTCCAATATAAATCACACATGTCAGGACCCCAGTTCTTTGCAAATTCAGTGTCAGTGGTTAAACCAAATGCCTGGCTATTCTCTGCAGCCTTCCTACTCTCCTCTCTCCTCCCATGCAGCTCAGAAAAGTCTTATGCTATTTCAAATCTCGAACAGTAGGTCTAAAGGGTGCGCTGCAGAAAGGCTATCTTTGGAAGGACCTGTCCCAAGTGTTTCAACAGTGAGACCACACCCATGTTCATGGCTTTTCTCCCAGTGTTCATTGTGCATCAGCAAAGAGGACTGGGGGAGGGGAGGTGATGCTATCTAACACTTAACTTCCAAGGCCCACGTGGAACAGTCTGGTGAGGCCCTGACTGTTTATGGATGCAAACCTCTTGAAATTCCATTCTCCTGCAGAGATGCTTCAGTTTTATTAATAGGAGACTCAAGAAAGAATAAATACTGGGTTTAGCACCAGAATTAAATTTTTCATTTGAGATTATGGGCTGGCAAATCCATTTTTAGAATTAATTCTAAAAGGAAAAAAGTTTCGATGTTCCCTTGGTTCTATAATAAATTGTCAGCACAAAGCTCAAAATAATTTTTTTCTGTTTAATAAGTTTTCAGCTATGTTTTCAGTTCAATAACAGTTGTAAGGAACCAGAGCTGTAAATCAGTGGGCTGGGTTCCATCGTATGTAAATAAGAACAAACAGCAGATGGGAAAGGATGGGGGGAACTTCACAGCTATTTCTTCCCAACTTTGTAGAAACATTAAGAGAAGAGAAATCTCAACCTCGGATTGGGACATGATGAAAATATGAAATGACAGAAGAGCAAAGACCTTTTAAAATTATTAAGTCACTGGTTCTCAATCTTGTCTGCATGCTGGGATCTTTGGAGACAGCTTTAACCAATCCTGAGGCCTGAGCGTCAGGAAGCTGACGGCACTGGTCTGGGTGCAGCCTGGGTGTCCAGAGTTTTAAAAGCTCTTAGGTGACTGTGCAGACAGGGTGGAGACCCGCTGTTGTAGAAGCCGTTTATTTTGCGGACAAGGAAATAAAAGTCCAGAGGATCCACAATCTGTTCCAGCTCTTACAGCTCAGGAGGGTCAGAGCCAGGACCCCACCACAGTGCTAAATGACAGTCATGAGCTCAGAGCTCCTAGGAGCAACAGAGGCGTCCCTAATAAATCAGAGGAAAATGTTAGGGAAGTGGAAGGGAACTGACAGAGAGACACAGAAGTAAACATTTCAAACAGAAAAACTACACATGGAGGGTGTTAAAACGACGAGGAAATCTCCAGGGACTAGATCCCTGCCTGTGCAGTCACCAGCACACCTGCGTCATTATGTCTTTGTCATGCAGCAACACGCAGTGTCCCGTCCGCTACCTTCACATAAAGAGGTCTCTTCCCAAACCAGGAAGGGGCCAGCAGGACGGAAGGAGGTGGGTGGATTGATTTGAGAGGGATTCGGTGACCGAATCCCTGGAACCCCAGTGATTGCTTTGCATGTGGAGAGGTGAGGAAAGCAGGGAGAGTCAGAGTAATTCCCAGGCTTCAGGCGCGGGCAACTACATGCACCCTGCTGCAATTTCCTAAGACTGGGAATGTTGGGAGGGACCCACCCTCCCACCCTCCCAGGATATCCTTCAGTAGGTTATTAAATGGGTAAATAAACTGTGGTACATCCACAGAATGGAATTTTACTCAGTACCAAAAATAAATGAGCTATCACCTCCTAAGAAAATATGAAGGAACCATGAGTGCATATTACTAAGTGAAAGAAACCAATCTGAAGAGGCTACATATTGTATGATTCCAACTATATGACATTCTGGAAAAGGCAAAACTGTGAAGACAATAAAACATTAGTTGTTCCCATGCATAAAGGTGGGGAGAAGATGAATAGGCAGAGCACAGAGGAATTTTAAGGCGGTAAAAATACTCTGTACGATATTATAATGATGGATGTAAGTCATTATACTATTTCTAAACTCATATAATGTACAACACCAACAGTGAACCCTAAGGTAAACTATGGACTTTGATTAGGAGGTACAGATGCAGCGTCACCTTTGGTAAGCAAACATACCCCTCTGTTAGGTGACGCTGATAATGGTGGAGACTGCACGTGTGGGGTCAGGGGTATATGAGAAATGTCTGTGCATTCCCGTCAATTTTGCTGTAAATCTAAAACACTCTAAACAGATCCTTTTAAAAATGAAAAACAGCTACTGATAGAAAAGATCCAGTGAGGAGGAAAAAATGTTGAAAACGTGGCAGCAAAAAGAGATGTAAGTGGTCCGTGAGAGGGCAAAGCGGGACAGTCACCAAAGAACACAATTGGCCCTTGAACAACACAGGTTTGAACGGCGAGGGTCCACACAACACAACGTAGGTTTGAACTGCTGGGGCAGGGGGAGGTCCACTTATATGTGGATTTTAAAATGCCATTCCTCAGCGTTATAGAATGCCTATTAAATTAACATTTTAAGCATTTTGCATAGGTTTTCCAGAGCTCTCTGTACACTGCTGATGGGCATGCCAAATGACCAGCAAAAGAGGCAAAAAAGACTTCAGCCTACGGCCAGGATAAAGAATGACAAATAACTGACTCATTTGCAGCTTCCTCCTCCCTTTTTCTTTCCTTCTCCCTCCACTACCTGTGTCTTTCCTAAATCCATGCCTTGGTAATTCAGTATCTTTGTGGCCCTCACTCATAGATGTCAAAACCCAGGTAGTAGCCACCTCCCTCTTTGCTTTCCCAAGAGCCTCAGCTGGTGTCTGCCTGGCCCGCTCAGGCGCTACTTAAAGCAGAAGTCATAGGGTGAAGTTACCCATACAAAATATTTATTGAGTCAAAAGTCAAAACATAACATATAAAAATTAACTCAAGTGTTATTATGATAAAAACCTGCCACATTCAGGATAAGGGCCCTCCAGGCAAAGCAGCGATTTGTTAAGCATCTATTTATTTCAGATTTTATGGATCTACACTGTGAAAATATAGTTTGTTTGATTTGTCTACGGGCAGTTGTTAGTTTTTTACCTCAAACACTGTTATTTAAAAGTTGGTCCCCCTTCTCCCTCTTTGCACCCCAGGACTTTGCCCACAGTGTTCTCCATCGGACACTAGGCACTGGTGAATCACACAGGCATATGCATGCCCCTGTTACACGTCCATCAAAGGTTTTTTGCAGAGATTTTCCCATCTTAAATTACAAATTGTTTCACCTGCTGCTTCTCTTGTGCCCTCTCCTTACCCTTTCTCCCATCACATGGACATAGGAATTTTGTGTTTTTTATAAGCGGCCAAGATAGTTCGATGAATATATTTAAAGGGGCATACGCCAACACAGGCATCCTTGTTGTGTTGTGTTTCACTCTACTGTGTTTCACAGTCACTGCATTTTCATCAACATTGTGCAGGACGCCCCCACCAGCAAATAAGACTGCTCTATACTGAAGGCTCAGGTGATAATTAGCATTTTTAGTGATAAAGTATTTTTAATTAAGGTATGTAACTTTTTTTTTAGATCTAATACTACAGCACACTTAATAGACTATACTTTAATAGTGTAAAGCTTTGTCTCTGGCAATGAAGACATCCCGCATGGCCAGATCAGATCCTACCCTCATAGGCATGAACCCCAAACAATTAAACCCACACTTTCAGCCCCTTCTCTGAGTTCCTGTTAGGCTTATAATCAGAATAGAGGTGTGTGTTCAATTGCTATTTATATTTATTTGGTTTGTCCAAAAAGCTCTGAGAACGGGAATCATTTTTTCGATCAAAAGAAATCATGGATACATAAGCAAACTACAAAGTGTTGAAGGGGACCAGAATTAGCCACCCCAAAATATGCCTCTTCGGCATATGGATTATTGTAGGCTGATTATTGTTAAGAAACAGCAGACATAGGAAAAGTTGTGAAAACTGAAAAGTAACCCTTTTATAAGAGACATTTACATTTATAAGGCAAATCGTTTGTCAGGGTGTCTCCCTCTCTGTACCAGGGAGAAGAGAATGACTCAATCTCTAGAAACAAAATCTTATCACTGGAGAAAGCATAACAACCTAGTCTCATCTACTCTGCTTTTCCTGATCACCATCCATAACTGGCTTCCCTCCCCCCTCGAAATATCTTTTGCCTTTAGCTGGGGATGGTATTTAAGGTGGTGTCTTGGGCCATTTTGAGGAATTGCTCAGTTTTCCTGGGTCTCTCCCATGTATACAGGAGGTAGACATGTTATTACATTTTTGTTTGTTTTTCTTCTGTTAGTCTTTTTTAGTACAGAGGATACTCAGCCAAGAATTTAAAAAAGGTAGAGGGAAAATTAATTTTTCCTCCTCTATGATGCTCTGTAAACAAAGTGGTTAGTTTTACAATCTCCTGTCTCATGTATTTTTCACATGATATGATTTCATCTCTCACATAACACACATAGCAGATGCTCAATAAATACAAGTTGATTTATGCCTGTCAAAACCTCCAGTGGGTATCTAGCAAAGAAGTGAAATTAAATCCAATAGTGTTTATATATGCTGAGGTATAGCAGTTATCCCTGCAGTAATTTCAAACATAAACTTTTGTGGGAATCA